TTGCCGATTTACTTTACTATTTTAAAAAATTTGCCGAAATTAGGCAATCATTATTAGCCATGGACAATTCCTGATTCTACACATTCACATTTTTTTATGCGCGATACTTTCGAAAAAAGGTATGCGAAATCGAATTAGGGAAAATTAATAAATTAAGAAAAACGCTAATACAATGATAGTTGAATATTTGTGCTCATAAATTATAATACAAATGAAAATCTTTTAGCGTCCGAAAATATTCAATTAAAGGTATATTTTTTCGTGGCTTTAGCGGATCAATATTTTTTGTAGTTTTTACAAATTTACCAATCGTACCGAAGACCGTAAATGTTTCCTAACTCCAAAAATTATTGACCCGCTTAAGCTACGCAAAATTATACCTTTAATAAATAATAATGTCTTTGCACTATTAGATAGTGTTAAGTGGTTGTAACTACTTATTAAAGGGGAAGCTTTATTGCAAATTAAAATTCTGAAAATACCGAGATATAAAGTTAAATAATATATACCGCAAATAAATATTTATCCCCTAAAAAACTTGTTAAAAAAAACGTTAATTAAAAACGTTATCTTAAATAAAAAAAAAAACACATATTTTTGCGCCTTTTCGGGTTTGAAAGCGTATTCTTTTAGCCACTGGTTTGCACACTTTTTGAATAGCCGGTATGTACAGTATGTTCAAAATATTTAAATTTGTCAATATATTAATTTAGTCGGCAATTAATGACCGAATCAGAAATCATTCAAGATACCTCAGGCATCCCCAGGACCGGTTTCGAGCCCATTAGCTCTCGTCAGCTAGGTTTAGCCTAATTAGCGACCGTAAAACCTGTACTTAAAGCACCCAATGTGAAATTAGCCACCTCGAAACCGGCCCTGGGGGGTTCCTGAGGTTGGCGAACATCGAGATTTGCACTGTATTGCATGATTTAAATTTTTAGCATCATTATATCGGTTCCATTTTTAAAGATAAAAGAAATGTAGAATTTGAAGGTTTCTCAAACAAGCAAATTTACATCTACTTAGCATCAATCAATCAAACTCTTATTAAGCTCCTTTTTACATATTTTTTTTTAATTTGTGCAGCAATTACAATATATAAAACAATCCACAGTTTTATTGTTTCCTAACTCGTTTACTAACTTTAATCATTTTAACACGTGATAAATCTAATTTTTTTCCAATTTTTTTTATCGGACACAGGAATAATAGCCAGTTTATTGAGTTGGACACAAAAATGCTCACTATGACAGTTTTTTAATTGTTCCATAAAAAGTTTGAGTTTCTATTGCCGATAAATTTTAACTGCGATATAAACCTTACAAAGGGTTGTCCCATTGGATTTCAACGGTTATAAATTAAAAAAAAATATTTAAATGCATCAGCATAACTCCAGTTAATAGAACTTGAATATAGTTTATATATGGCGAACAGAATTATCTGAATATTTTCCAAAATAATATAAAAATTAGTTACTACTTGTTTATCTAATCAGAATTTTGAAGAACCATTAAAAAGTCGCGTTTGTGTGTCATACCTATAGTAAGCGCTTTATTTAAGTAAGTTTTAAACTTCAGAGCATCTTAAAAAATGGTCTGAAAATCTCAATTAAATTATGGTCAATAATGAATAAATTAAAGAAGTCATAAATTAATCATACTGCGTCTTAGAATACCTCACAACGTAATCAGCTAATATAATTACTCTTCAGTGGACCGAGTTAAGGTTTGTATAAATCAATTCCACCACCAAATCTTCATCGTTCATTCTTATAGCATTATAAGTATTATTAAATAACCAAACTATGGATTTAATCAGGAAATAGGCAATTAAGTTTTACATTAAATATTATTTACGATTCATTTATATTTATGTAATTGCCAAGTTGATTAATGAAAGCGCCTTTCATAGATGATTTTTTCATAAATTTAATTTGATAATCGTGGCGAATAGCCCGTACTGTATTAATGTTATTATTTACGGTTCAATTTGCTTTTGCGTCTAAAATTGGCTGCACAAAAAATTCATCAATCAATTGTAGTTTGTATGGAACGTCCTGAACTCGTATCTTATAATTGAAATTTTTTTAACCCATTATACTATACAAGAATAAATTTTTGTCAATTGTCCTGTTTGGTTTTAATAGCAGACTTTTTCATCTTTTATCATATACTATTTTTAATTAATCATAAACTATCTACTAATTCCTTAAGCAGTGAGAATTTCCACAATAACGTTATAAATGAAGAAACATTTAACAGAATATCTAACTGTAAATGTACTATTTTTTTGTACTCTCCAGATGTTGATTAATGATGAATTCGGCGGATCTTTTGATTCGCAATAAGCACAATAATAAAACCGCTTATAATGTTCACTTTGTTATATAAAAAATACATTAAAATAAATAACTAATTAAAATATAATAACCTACATGAAACGGAACTTATTCAGTTTGTCTAAATATATATATGCACTTGTCGTTTAAATGTTAAAGACCAACCTGTACACCCAGAATTAATACACAAATTCTACAAATTAATGAAAATATTACATTACAAAGAATTGACATCTGTAAGTTTAATTAATAATAATATCCATAAAGACAAGCCATTAATAAAATCTGTAGAATGTGCCTTAATTATATTAAACAGTTTGAAATACAAAAATTGCAGAAACAAGCACATATATTGATATAACTTATTTCATAGCAAGTAATTTATAAAGCTCCAAGTAAAACCACCGTGACTTTAGAGTCGCAAATATTAAGCCGATTCATTCGATAATTAGATATGACTCCGATTTAGCAATTTCACTTTTTTGTGATATTTTTAATGCTTAACAAGTTTTCTTATATAAATTACTAACACGCACTACATATTGCATGTAAGGCATGTTATCAGAAACTTAGAAAATAATGTGTTCGATATCATCACGTTAAGGTGGATACTGAAATGTTCACGGAATGACTTAATTTTATTACCAAAGGTTATCGAATTTGACTAATTGCATTATAAGATCATATAACTATCTTAAAGGTTAAATGGACATACACGGTCGGGTGTTAAAAACCTTTTCTGTGCTTATTAACCAGTTATTTAATCACATGGATGTTTTATAAATATCCCAATATAATTCTATAGAAAAGTGTATGGCGAAGCTAAAATTACGCTTCTAATCTTTAAACGTTCATACTATGATTTGATTTATCAATTGTCAATCAATTGGAGTACCTATTTTTAGAAAATGGGTACTCCGAATTCTTACTATTACTATATCTTAAGAAGAACTTAAGAAAATATGGTTGGTATCCAAAACGCTCACTTTATAAGTAAAAGCGCATATTTGTCAGTGAAATTTGCACTTTTGAACTCCTCAATAACAGTTGAAGATTCAAATTCTTCAGCTCGATAAATAAATGCTTCGTATCCAAAACGCACTCTCTATTAGTGAAATCGCAACTTTATAAGTGAAGTTTATAATTTTAAAACTGTTACTAGAAGCTTAAAGAACCTAATTTGGTATGTATTTAAAAAAATATGGTTCATATTCGAAACGCACTTTAGAATCCTTAATAATAGTTGAAGGTTTAAAATCTGCAGGTCTTTAAAAAATGGTTCGTATCCAGAGTGCCCAGAGTGAATTTTGCACTTTTTGAATCCTTATTAGCAGACTACGTCAACTTTTGCATGTCTTACGAAGAAAATATGCTTCGAATCCTAAACTCAGACGTTATAAGTGAAATGGCTGCTTTATAAGTGAAATTTGCACTTGCGGAATCTTTAATCGCAGTCCAAAGATCTAATTTTGTGAGTTTTATCAAGAAAATATGGTTTAGTCGTATAAGTAAAATCACTCACTTCTTATAAGTAAAATCGCAAAAAAAAAGGAAATATGGTTCGTACTCAGTTTTCACTTCTTGTGAACACTGAGCGAGATTCAATTTTTGTATGTTATTCCAAAAAATATGGTTCTTATCAAACACGCACCCTCTGTTACGGAAATTCAGGATTTATAAGTGAACTTTGCACTTTTAAAACCTTTAATGGTGCCAGTCAAAGGGTGAAATTTGGTATGCCTTTTAAAGAAAATATAGTTCGTAGTCAGTGCTGACTTCTTGTAAGTGAAATCGCGATTTCGTCAATGRAATTAAATGAAATTGTCTCTTTATCAATTCTTACTAGCAGCCTACGAGTCAAGAGTCAAGTTTTCAAAAGAATTTGGTTTTTATTCGACGCATTTTCTATAAGTGAAATTTGCACTTTTYGAATCTTAAATAGCGGTMAAGGGTCAAGGGTCAAAATTTGTATATTTYTTGGAGAAAATATGTTTCGTTTTTACACYCACATCTTATAAGTGGAATCGCGATTTTATAAGTAAAATTAGCACTTTTCAGATCCTTGCTTACASWCCAAGAGTCAAAMATTTGTGATTTCAATGCAAWTATGGTTCGTATTAGGATAGCAAACTTTATAAGTCGAATCAGCAAGCAAAAATRATCAATCCATTATTAGGACAACAAACTTTAACAGYAGATTCTAGAATAGAAAATAATGTTAAAATGAAAAATGAGAAAATTTAGAGTAAAAAATATTTTTTAATAAATTCGGTTGTACATTGTGCACAACGGTTCTATTGCAGATTTTTCTATGTGATATCAGCGGGTATATATTCCAAGAGTGTTAATCTATATCCTAAATACGTCAGTCGAGTTAGGCCTGAAAACAATAGGTCCGAAACCTGCTTTCCATTTCCCGCATGTATTTTACATCGGAGCGAAACTGATCTTTCAAAAACGGAAATTTGTTCATACTGATATCGCGTTGAAAAATTTCATTAAACTTGTCTATTTATTTAGAATTTACAATCTGTTTATTTAAAATACATTTTTATTGATTTACGATTTATTTATTACTCTAAAATTATTTGGATCATAAAATTAGTAAGAGTAAAAGCTTTTTCTCCTAATTATGACTAACCCTGTAAACTTTTCGACTTACCTTATGGGAAGTTGACACCTTTTTTCAAGCATTCATTGTCAATGCACACGTCTTGTAGAATACTTGTATTATCAATTTTTGACCATCTTCGAGTTATCCTTATTTCACATCTAAGCCAACATTAGATAATCTGGAACAAAAATCCGTGCAAGTCTAAAGCGGTTAGATCAAAGGTTAGCACAATTTACATAACAGTAGATAATATCCTAATAAACAATTCAATACCCAGTTTTTCAATGAATGATAGTTTTTTGACATATAATTTTTTAGGTACGAGTTTTCATTTAATTAAGGAACTTGCTCTCATGATAGTAAGTAAATTTAATTAATTTCATATTAATATTCTTCTGTAATGTTTTCGATGTTGCTTATATCTATTATTAAATTATATTTTCAATTGTTTTATTTCTGTATTTCACTTTTTATAACTTAGGTTTCAGTTAGCTCTCTGGTATCGTCTACTGCATACCCATCATCCTGTGCTTGCTTTAAAGTTTAGCCGATGCAAATTATTCCGTTGCTTAAAATTACTCATGTGATTTACTAATTAAATTTTGCATTGTTTTCCAACAGATTTGTTCCTCTTCTTCTGTTTTGTGAATGTTTCTGTTCCTATTGTTGTGTTCTTGTGTTCTCTTTTAAATGTACATTATTCCATCGCCACTTTCTTTCCACCAAACTTATGGGCTCCAACTAATCAATTATTAACGGGCAATATTGTTTTGGTACAATTTATATGTATTTTCCTGAACTGTTAATGAAGCAAATTACATAAACGACTCGCCATTAGAGCACTTGAACTGTTTTCGTTATTACCAGCTTGCATTGATCAGTAAATACGTCATTAAGTTATTATTTGCATGAAACCCATGTAAAAACTCATTAAAAACGCGATTTTTATCGTGGGACTTCATATAAAAATTTTTATGAATTTATTTTTTGCCACTCCTCTCAATCGTTGTGTCTTAAAAGTTCAACGGTCGGAAAATCTTTAAATTTAATTGCAGCCTTCAATGCTTGAGCCTTCGGCTTCGTCTTATATCGCCTGTATATTTAACGGATATAATGATCACTACATCAGCGAAGCAAATCGGCCAATCTGCAAGAGTGCCATTGAACAATTTACAATGATAAAAACACATCAATTAAATCAAGACGCTTAAAACTTTAATCTGGTTAAATGCTTCAACTATTCAGTATCTTTTAGTAGTTCTGGGAAAAGATGGCTTGAAAGAGTACACAAGGTGATTTTATTGCTGTTTTAGTTTATGTAGGTATATGACTATAAATAAGTTGTTTTCTCTGCTTTTTTCACGTTTATGATGTGCTGTTTTGCTGATTTGTGTTTTTGGTGGCGCCTTAAACGCTGGTTTATGCAGGTTTAATTCTGCAATAATAATTGCTATTAGACAACAAGAAGAGATTTTGAGAAAAAGAAGAGAGGAAGGTGTTACCAATACCAATAAGATCTCAACTTTTTTCAGAAGCTCATTATTTACTTCCATATACAGGATGTTCCGTTACTCGATGGCCATTGCTTACGAGCCTTCTACAGTTTTGGCCAAAACGCAATTATTAATTTTTTAAAAAGAATGGAAGGCAAAATAAAGTATGTAATGTTTTATTAGTATAACAAGTTGAAAGTTGATATCTCTTTTGTACTACACAATTATTTTATTAGAAGAGTGTAATTTCATGCAGACATGAAACGTATTTATTTTTATTAAGCTCGATGTTTATTGGCCAATTTGAAGCAATTAAAATTGAACGAAGATAAAGCCTTCAATTCGTTAATTATGTAATTGTATAAATATTTCCTTCTGCCATTGTATGACACAGTTTTACCATTATTTATTTAACATTGTTGTTAAAATAAGGACATCTTACAATCGTATTAGACCACACGTGTAGAAGGCGTGAATCGCACAACGAGCCATTAATTACGATATAAACTATTAAAAATTGTTGAAAATTATTTTAAATTAATATTGTATGTGTAAAATGAGTTTAATTTCAGGACACGCCCACTTTCGTCATTTGTTGATATTGCAATCATGTTAGTTGCAATGCCACTTCACTTTCAATTTTACTGATTAACCACTTTCAAATCTATTCACTGTATTTGATAAATTTAGATGCCAATGTTGATGTCCAACCTCAATCAAATATTGCATATGATTTTTTACTGAGAGATTTTCACACACTTGCATTACCTATATAAAATGTAGATTTTGGGAAAATGAAACAATGATCAGAAATATTTTAAAAAGGTTCTGATGAAAATATTCGCCATCGATTAACGAATTGAAGGTGAGTACTCGAAATACCTAAATATTGCGTGGAAATCGAAGTTCATTTAATTGATGTTCACGTAAGTAAGTAAACAAATTAAGTTTGCAGTGATAACGGATATTAAAATTCTCATTTATGCTGATTAGCCTTAGTAACACTAACCATCTAAAGTGAAAAACCTCCTACCCATTGCAGTATCGCACGAACAATATATTCATGTTTAAACAACGTACATTAAATTGAAGGAATAAATAGAAATCCAGATAACAATTTTTTTTTCATCATATACAATGTAGGATTGTCCAAAGCCTAGCAAAAAACATCAAATTTTGTGGTTTATAGTAGAGTTAAATAAACGTGTTTTGTTACCGCCACTGGGTTGTAACCAATAAAGGTCAACTCAATTGAAAAATTATTTTATTGTAGTATTTATAGAGTTATTCTTTTGTTGTCTTAACTGAATTTTAATTGAATCTTTATCTACGTTGAAGCGCGTCGCATGAGTACAATTTGAATTTTTTACATTGTTTTTTGTTGCTATTAACAAAAAGTACATGTGGTTGTACTATTTAGTGCAACAGTTTATTATATTATTCGCTTGCCATAAAACTCTTGAGTGATTTTTTATATTTAACATATAGAGTGCCGTTAACGGCCTTTTCTTAATTGAAAATTTGGCTAATTTACTTTAGTGTAAAGTTCAACACATGGTTTTAAAAAAGTCAGAGGCGCAAACGGTTTTTTAGTGTCAACCAATCTACTTTACTTTGCCGCAAGTTGTTCTTAGGTATAATACATTCCAGGAAAAAAACATTTAGTCGACATCCTGTACATATATGGCATATTACTATTAAAATAATTTCTTGTTTTGGAGCTATTTAATCCTAATCTAAGTTTAAGTCGAAAATGTTAGCAAAATTATTGTTTTGAAAGTACAAAAATTCTAGGGTGGACTGGATTTAATATTTTCAAGGTTTTAACTACATACTGATAACATGAAAATAAAAGACTTGGAAAGGGATTTTCCGTATTGTCCAACATTAATTGAAATTTGTAAACCAATTTTTTATTTCTACCTTAATTACATTCTGAGGCCATAATTTGCCAATAATCCACAATTTTTTGAAAGTTAAAATATGGTATATTTTATTGGACAAAGTGGCAGCTAACAACGATTTAAAATATTTTAGAGCTTTAATGTTATTTTTCACAAAAAGTAATTTCCTTTGTTTCGTATGCTTCCTTTGTCAATTACCGATTTACTAAATCTTAAGTGTTTTAAGATAAGTGGTAATGTAGACGAATATATTATAAAGAGCATCGGTCGCTTGTGGTCTTCAAAAGCAACTTTATGAGTTTATTATCAAACTTTCGAACTATTTCATTCCAGGGGCACGTCCAGGAACAAAATAAGTAAATAAGAAACAAATTAAGCAAACCGATTAATTTTTGTGCAAATAATGTTAAGGAGTAAGATTTGAAATTGAGAAAATTTCTCACCCTAGATCGGGTTTGTTTGCAGGAAGCGAAGAGTCTGAGAGCCAGCCACAAAAGACTGATTCTCAATTTTTAGGAAAACTGTTTTTTAATTGATGCAAGTTTATCTATAGCTAAAATGTGAGTTGCACAAGTGCAAAGTTGCAGAGTGACTTGGAATTCTCATTTGAATTTAGGAAATCTAGTTGGAATTATACTATCAACGTTACCTTTCACAAAAAACCAACATTGTCGACAAAAGTACAAAATATGTACTTGATCAGCAAAAAGTTAATGAGAAATTCTTCACGAAAAACTTTAATGAAAACCCAATGGACAATCTCGAAAAACCAGTTTTATAAGGGATATTTTGTAAAGCGCCGTTATCGTAAAACATAGTAAAAACGGTATATAGACAAATAAACTTGTCTAGTTGACCACAAGAAAATTATTTTCCTATTAGCTCTCGTATATCAGACAGGAAAAGTAAGAACAGTGGGGTTTCTATGGCGACTGATATGTTGCTCTCACTCCTGAGCGTTTGAACAAAGATATTCGAAAGTACTCGTCCCGATTTGAGCTTATAAGTTATATTACGAGGGTATGAGCAAAATAATTGTTTTTATTTTTCAGTTAGTTAAACCTGCAAATTTTGAATTTGTGGCAAAATGTTGACCTCAATCTCTATTTATTGTTCTATACAAAGTTGTTTTTTACACTTTTACGCTAGTAAACCCAAATCCACAAAATAGGAAATTATTCAGAAAATGGTTAACAGACACTGTCCCCTGCAAAGAAAAATAAGCTTTAAATCAATTATTAAAATTTCCAAGAAAGAAACCATAATTTAATTGTTTTTAGTAGTAGGTACAACTAAATTTCTGAGTGAGACGGTTTTTAAAAAGTACCCTCTTTGTAAATTCTTAAGACCAAGTGTTTTCAGACCCTGTCAGTTTTTCCCACCAAATCATTACTTTCAAAATAATTGAAAGCACCCACTGCTAAGATTTCTTAGCATCTTAGTAGTGAACCCACTACTAAGATGCATTTCAACAACAAAAATGTAATTATATTTTAATAAATTAATATCAGTTAATCCAATAGCGTATTTTTAATTTCTTTTACAGTTATACCTACTATTTTTTATGCTGATTTTAAACTTTAAATGTAAATTTATATCAATCCATCACCTAATCAATAACGATATTCTTGATTACGTAACTCTGCCTCGTTTCTTGATTCCCATTCAATCAGACACCAGAAATTTGCTTTTTCCAAGAGACGTTGAACGGTAACTAAATATCTAGTTTAGATTTAATTGACGTACTGTGTTAAGTTTTGAATTTTATAAACGCAAAGCCA